TTTCTTCTTGACTGTGAAGTTCTCGAAAGAGCAAATCATTCGACTATAGCTGTCCTATTTGATAATTCCATGAAGTTGTTGTGGCCAAATGGAATACAGCGAAATAATGTCCTTCTCCTAGTAACAGATGCCGCTCCATACATGAAGAAGGCTGCCAAAGGACTTCGAATCCTCTACCCGAAAATGGTCCATATTACTTGCCTCGCTCATGCATTGCATAGAGTGGCTGAAGAAGTTCGAGGACATTTTCCTGATGCAGATAGGCTAGTTTCAAACGGAAAGAAAATATTCATCAAGGCCCCTCTTCGAGTGCAGAAATTTAAACAAGAAGCTCCTCTACTCCTCAGTTGATAACATCGAGTGGTCGGGTGCACAGCGTGCGTTCGTCGTAGAGACGTTTTTGAAAAACAGAGTGTCTGTGATCGCCACTCAACGAGCCTTCAGAACTCAGTTCGGCTCGGACCTCGCGATAGGATCCCTACTCGGAACACAATTTTGCGGTGGGTGGCTTCATTTCGTGCCACAGGTTCAACCTAGGTCGAACCTAAGGTCATCCCGCATCGCGTTGACATTCCTTGGCCCGCACGTTCGCCCAATCTTGCGCACTGCGATTTCTTCCTTTGGGGCCATTTGAAGGCGGAAGTTTATAAACATCGACCACATACACTGGACGAGCTGAAGATGGCGATTCGAGAAGAAATTGCAGCGATTCCACCAGATATGACCGCGAGAGTGAAGAATAACTTCGGAAAACGCCTCGACGTCTGTATCAGAAGCCAAGGACGTCATATGGATGATACTGTATTCCACAAATAAACTGCATGTATTGGCGAATCTGATGGTAACAATAAAATTTGGATTTGATGAAGCCTTACCAATTGTATTGCCCTGTGAAATCCATCCATTCTTTTCTGACGCACCCTGTATAAAGTGCCAGTCGATAAGATCGATCCTCTGTACACAACTCCGCCATTTTGTACAACTGCCTGCTTATAGTATAGGCGAGAGATCTGGACTAGCGGCCATGTGAACATGTGTATGACCGTCTTATTTCTGAACAATTACAACTGAAGAAATCCAATTAAACAGAAATTTAAATAAGTGTAACACAACACTATTTTAAGACATAACGTCGTGTAGTCCGTTTCAAGTCAACTGACGTTTCGGAGTAATATATCGCCTCCATCTTCAGGGTCGAAGAATAAGCCGAGCAAAAAAAAACAGCGTGAAAGTAGGTGGCAAGCAGGGCTCAATTCAACGGACTACACTAAACTCTGCTACTCACATAGTTGGTGAGGCCGATGAGAGGGACGCCGTTCGCAGCCAGCAGGATGTCCCCCTGGCGCAGCTGACCGGTCTGCGATGCGGGTTGGTGTGGGAACAGGCGCTTGATTCGAATCAGGCCGGGCCACTGCTCGCCTGCATCCACGCCGCCAGTCACACTAAGCCCCAGCCCTCGGCCGCCCTTCAGCAAGCACACCTCGAACGTAGCTTCTGTAACACACACCAGACAGTGCAAGTGGACCAGAACCTAATCCATTTTATTTGATACTTTTGTTCGGGTGCACCGGATCGTTACAAAAACCATCGAAGTATGTTTGCACTTCCGAGAAGCAGAAGGTCCAGTGGCTTCAACTTCAAACCACCTCCGAAGGATTCATACATAACGTCCTGCTGTGTGTGTCATTCCACCTGAACAGAACAGGACTAATGTTCATATGTTCATATAACCTCAAGGGAGAAAGCAGTAGGCGCAGATCTACCTACCTACCTCTCTTTCTGTCTGTCTACGGCTCTACAGCCGTTTGTTGGGCCATGGCCGCTTTTTCAGTTTCTTAATCTTTTACNCGCCACGTTGCTGCTGGGTAGGGAGGGGGTCTCCGTTCCGCAACATGTTACAATATATATATATGAAGGGGGGGGGGCGCGGTAGGATAGTTGGTTGAGGCGCTATGCTACAAGCCAAAAGGTCGGGGGTTCAAGTCCCGATGAGGTCATTGGATTTTTTTAATTGACCCAATCCTTCCGGCCGCACTTGGCCCTGAGGTTGACTCAGCCTCTTAACAGAAATGAGTACCAGGAATTAATTAAATAATTTTCCTGGGGAGTAAAGCGCGGCCAGCGCGTAAGGCTGACAACCTTACCGCCATCTTTGAGCCGATTGTCTAGATAATATGGGACCCTCAACGTCTCACAACCCTATGGGCCTATGGTAAAGGGATAGCTTTACTTATTTACTTACTTACTTAGTAATATATAAGAAGGAAGAAGTACATGGTAGTTCGGGACATCACACAAGGAACTGCTGGTTTATACAGGTCGACTATTAGCCCATGTAAGTAGCTGGGACGCCACTCAAGGCATGGATGTCTGTGCATGCGTTTATTCTGTGTTTGTGTTGTCCTTTGTGTAGGCAGCGGCCTTGCGACGGGCTGATTCTCCGTCCAAGGAGACCTGCAGTCTGGGTAAAAAGGGTTACAAAAGGGTTAGGCCATGGCCTAACAAAAGGGCTGTAGAGCCACTGATGACAGAATGAATGGAGTAGCTGGGACACACAGGACAAGGGATTCACACTGACTTCAGTGGCAGCCACTTGAAAGACTGAGACGATGGTAAAGTTATCCGTGTGTCTAATAAATTAATTAAGCCCTGAAGGCCTACGAGGGAGTGGAGGTATGGGTCCTTGGCACTATATGGAGGCGAAAGGTCAGCTTTGCACCCCCTTATTCCCGAGGAAAAAGCCCCAGTGCTCATTGGACAGCAGGCCCGGTAAGCCCCCAAAGTGGGTTTGGACGCTGTAGAGAAAAATATCTTACCTCTGCCGGGAATCAAACCCCAGCCGTCCAGCCCGTAGCCCGTCGCAATACCGACTGAGCTAACCCGGCACCCAGAGAAGAATACGGCAGAATGGTAACAGTAGGCAGGTGCAATAGGCCAATCAGTGGCCGCCGTGCCGAGTGGACCCAGCTGGACTCCACCCCCCAATAAACGAATTAAAAAAAAACGGATCTTGGAGAGAGAGGTTGTGAGGATAGGAGGTCGAAGCAACAGACTCAAATGTTATGTCCAACGGTGGGATTGACATTAGCGCTATCTAGTTAGTTACTATAGGATTCTGACGATGGTGTGTAACACTTAAGAGATATTGGGTTTTCGGACTTCATCCATCGGCCTGGTTTTAAGATAACTAAGAGAAACACGACGTTTCGGAAACTGGCTCTGTTTCCGTCCTCAGGTGAGGGAAAACACCTATTCTGTTGGGTCCCTTGGAAAGAGCTAGCCTCAAGCACTGGTCCACTTTCCGTCCTCACCTGAGGACGGAAACAGATCCAGTTTCCGAAACGTCGTGTTTTTCTTAGTTATCTTAAAACCAGGACGATGGATAAAGTCCGAAAACCAATATCTCTAAGCTACCTGGTTAGTTCAGTTATGGTTTGCATCTAGTTGAACTAAAGCACAAAGAATGTTCTGCACCATAAAATGATGCGGATTTCGAAAGGATCTTGTAAGCAAGCTTTGATTACTCGTCATTTGCAAAGCTCCGGAGTAAAATGGCAGTATATTTCAGCCAGAAGACACAGTCTGAATCTTGGCGCCGTTTGTACGGGCTCATATGGAAGAGAATTCTGATAGAACCCAAGAGAGTTGTGGCATATCACCAGTTCTCAGTTCGTGTTAATCGATTCGCAGCGGCACTGGTGCCATTCAGAGATCTGAACAATTGCTATGATAATAACAACATTAGTGAAACTACAAAATAAAGTGAAAATGCTCTCGAATTTGCAACAGCCAAACACAGCTTCAAAACGTACTCCTTAGATTTTGTATCTGTCAATGGCCTTCAATGCTTACATATTCAAATCTACTGTCAGAACAAATATCAGAGGTGCTTCCTTGCACAAAAACATAAAATATATTATTGTCATATTAGATAACAGAGGAATGGCACTGCATATATACATAAATAAATTTACAATGTTTCGTTAATACACATATCGAAATATAAAGTTTCGAATACAAGCTCCACACACACATTTAATTAATTCATACACAAGGGTTGGATAAATAGTAGTAGCAACACTGCTGTAACATGAAAGATGTGCGTAAGGGGGCACTAGCGCCGTCTCTAGCTGATAGCAAAAGTTCATTTGAAGTAGTGCAATGAGTGGCTCTGGTTGAGTTGAGTTGCATTGTACATCATCTTGAAGTGGAGGAGCCCACTTCAAGCACCCTAACAACGTATTTAAGAAACAAGAACAAAGCTCCTGGATAAAAATTGAAGTTGCAAGAGGTGGTAGTGCACAAAACTGTTATCACGGACTGCGAGAAGCATGTGGTGATGCTGCTTTGCCATATCGCACAGTGACACGGTGGGTGAAACTGTTCCGTGAAGGGAGGGATGCCGTTCAGGACGACCCCCATGTTGACAACAACACAATTCAGCTTCTTGCTTCTTTGCTGGATGTCGATCGTCGATGGGCTGGGCGAGAGTTAGCTGCTGAGGTAGGCGTATGTCACAAAACTGTGCTCCACATTCTGCACGATATTCTTGGATACCGCAAAATTGCAGCGCGTTGTGTACCCATGCAATGTCCGAGGTGCAACAATGGCAACGTTATGCAATTTCACAGGACTTGTTGGACCGGTACCAGAGGGAAGGTGACGACTTCCTTGGAAGGATCGTACTCTGGACGAAACGTGGGCTCGCCCATACGAACCGCACTTGAAGCGACAATCAAATGAATGTAAGCATCATGGCTCTCCTCGTCCAAAGAAAGTGCGCCCTACACAGAGTAATGTGAAGGCGATGTTCATTGTGGCATATGACACTGATGGAGTGATACTGCACCACACTGTACCTCAACGACAGACAGTAAACGCTGCCTACTACTGCAATTTCCTGTGTAATTATCTTCGTCCAGCACTCAGGAGAAAGAGACGACACTTGTTGGCAACGAACCCCATCATCCTTCATGACAATGCAAGGGCCCATACTGCTGACGCTGTCAAGGATTTCTTTGCTGCTGGCGATGCCAGATACTGCAACTTCCGCCATACTCACCCGATATGAGTCCGTGCGATTGTGATCTCTTTGCCAAAATGAAAGAACCACTGCGAGGGACACGTTACAACACAAGAGAGGAGGTTATTCGTGCTGTAGGGCGGTCACTGCTGGACATCAACAGAAGTGGACGCGCCGATGGTGTACAACGCCTTCCACAAATTTGGCAGAAGGTGGTAACCATGGGGGGCGATTATACTGAAGGAATGTAAGTGTGTTTACCTCAGGTAATAAAGTCATTTCAGAACTACAGAAGTGTTGCCACTACTCTTCATCCGACCTTTGTACTTTGTCCGAAAAAAAAAGTTTTTTACCTCGTTCCCTCCTTTAAAGGCAAGACTGTAGACTTATGAAATCACCATGTTCTGTACTGTCACCCCATTTCATTTTTGGAACCATCTGACCGACTTTCACGAATTTGGTCAGGGTTCCGCACAAACATGAACTGATGCTGCGTGGGTGGGAGTATAACTGACAAGGCGAATGAGGTCATCAGGCAGTTGAGATGTTTTAGAAGAATTATAACACAGGCCTACACTTCAATCGCTCCTCAGTGCCTTTCGCAACCGGTGAAATGAATTCAAGTTTCTTGCTATTTAGGTTCATGCCAAACCTTGACGAAAATGAGAGAATGATATTAAAATGGATATTAAGTAAATATACTTTGACAGCGTTGGCTGGAATCGACTGTCTCAGGATTGGATAAAATGGCTACTTTCTGGGTAGGCAGCTTTGAAATCTTCGCGTTCTACTAGCACAGTAAGCTTCCATGCTGACAACACACTGCTGCATCGAAAGGATTGGTAAAGTCAACATCTAACCAAAAACGTGAAAAGAATCATGATTTGTAGACTTCACTTTACACTCATAACATTTCAACTTGTAACTTACTTACTGTCAGGTCTCGCGGCCATAGTTATCTTCTTTTTAATATTAAACTACAAGCACACCCACATGTTTTAACTTCATTAGGGTCCAATCACTAACATGGTAGTCTCTACGCAGCTTAACATAAATTATTTTACCTATTACTATGTTCTCATTTTTTCATTCATAACAGAAACGACTAAACTTCGTTCCAAACCTATAACATTAGGAAATTTGTATATTACACAATTAAGACATTTTTTGCGTATGTAAAGTTTATTACAAACACAAAAAAAAAGTTTTTCTGGTAGTCATTTAAGGTAAAACACATTTTTATTGATTTTGTAATTTTTAAACACAACAAGATGCAGAACTGAAAGTTAGTTTCAAAAGCCTGTAATCGAGCTCTCGTCATTCCGGTGTTAACACGCGAGGAAATTGTGTCAAGACAACATTATACGACCTTAACACCAACTTCAATGGCGGAAACTGAATTTTGAATAATTAAATTAAAGTAAGAGCGTATTGCTTTACGAAATGCAAAGCAAGTCCAGTAAAACGTAGA